CCCACCCCTCACCTGGTCGGTGCACCAGTACCAGGCGGAGATGATTCCCAGTCCCAGTATGAGGCCGGGCCAGGGCAGGTCGCCCGTACTGGGGTGGCGCAGGAGGTGGAAGGCGTCGGGGCGGGGCCTCCCGCAGGGCCCCGTGGCGTTGGGGGGCAGGGCCAGGGGGTAGCGCTCCAGCAGCCCCTCGTAGCCCCCCACGGCGGTCAGCGCTGCCCGGGAAACCCAGTACGGACCAGTAAGGACCAGTATGGATCGATGCGGGCCGGTACGGACCAGTACGTAGATCAATAAGGGCCAGCATGGGTTAATATGGACTGGTACGGACCAGTAAGGACCAGCAGAGACCAGTGTGAATGAGTGTGGACCAGTATGGACCAGTATGGACCAGTAAGGACCAGTATGGACCAGTATGGACCAGTAAGGACCAGTATGGACCAGTAAGGACCAGTATAGATCAATATGGACCAGTATGAACCAGTATGAACCAGTATGGACCAGTATAGATCAATATGGACCAGTATGAACCAGTATAGATCAATATGGATCAGTACAGACCAGTAAGGACCAGTATAGATCAATATGGATCAGTATGGACCAGTATGGACCAGTATAGATCAATATGGATCAGTATGGACCAGTATGGACCAGTATGGACCAGTATGGACCAGTATAGATCAATATGGATCAGTATGAACCAGTATGGACCAGTATAGATCAATATGGATCAGTATGGACCAGTATGGATCAATATGGATCAGTCCAGACCAGTAAGGACCAGTATGAATGAGTATAAATCAATACAAATCAGTAAAGACCAGTAAAAACCAGTAAAAACCAGTAGAAACCAGTAAAAACCAGTAGAGACCAGTACGGACCAGTCTGCCTCCCAGTCCCTCTCACTCCCCTCCCAGTCCCCCTCAGTCCCCTCCAATTCCCTCCCAGTGCTCCCAGTCCCTCCCAGTCCCCTCCCAGTCCCTCCCAGTGCCCTCCCAGTGCTCCCAGTCCGCACCGTATCCGGCCAGTACGGAGGCCCCCACGACGATGATGAGGGTCTGCAGGAGGTCCGCGAACATCAGCGCCGCCAGGCCCCCTAAAGGCCACGCCCCCTCCGTCAGGCCACGCCCCCTTTATCATCAGACCACGCCCTATTCCCTCCCACCAACCCCTTCATAGACCACGCCCACTTTAACCCCGCCCTCTTTGA